AGCCCCTATAAGACTGACAGCTGATTTCTCAACAGAAACTTTGCAGGCCAGAAGGGATTGGCATAAAAAGTGATGAAAAGCAAGGACCTATAACCAAGATTACTCTACCCAGCAAAATTATCATTCAGAATCAAAGGAAAGATAAAGAGCTTCCCAGATAAGGAAAAGCTGAAGGAGTATTATCATAAATGTTAAAAGGACTTCTTTAAAAAGAGGAAGACAAATCAAAGAAATGAATAAGAAAATATTTCAAAGAAAAATAATTCTCACTGATAAAAGCAAGCACATAATAAAAGCAGTGGATCAAACAACACTAAAGCTAACACAAAGGTTAAAAGGCAAAAGTTGGAAGCACAGGTGTAATTACAACAGTAAATTAAGGGATACACACAGACACACACATAAAAGAAGTAAAAAAAAATGACAGAAACATAAATGTGGAGGGTGTGAGTAAAAATGATAGTGATTTTAGAGTGAGTTTGAACTGCCTGGCCAGTGTGGCTCAGTGGTTGAGCTCTGACCCATGCACCAAGAGGTCACCAGTCAGGGCACATGCCCAGGTTGTGGACCAAATCCCCAGTGGGGGGCATGCAGGAGGCGGCCAATCAATGTGTTCTCTCATTGATGTCTCTCTCTCTCTCTCTCTTTCTCTCTCTCTCCCTTCCTCTCTCTCTAAAATCAATAAAGAAATGTTTTTAAATAGTTAAATAAAAGAATGAGTTTGAACTTAAGCGACCATCAACTTAAAATAGATTGCTATAAACATAGCTTATGTATATATATAAGAAGCACATGGCAATCACAAACAAAAAAATCTACAAGAGATATACAGGAAATAAAAGAAAGGAATTCAAACACAGCACTGTAGAAAGTCATCAACATGCAAGAGAATAAGAAAGGAATAAGGAAGAATTACCAAAAAAAAGTCAGAAAACAATTAATAAAATGGCAATAACTACATATCTATCAATAATTACCTTAAATGTAAATGGATTAAATGCTCCAATCAAAAGAAGAATGGATGAAGAAGTGGTACATATACAATAGAATATTACTCAACCATAAAAAATAATGAAATCTGCTCTGGCCGGTTTAGCTCAGTAGTTGGAACATCAGTCGACATTTCTCTCTCTCTCTCTCCCTCCCACTCTATCTGAACAAAATTTAAAAAAAATTTTTTTTAAATATCCTCGGGTGAGGATTAAAAAAAAAAAGTAATGAAATCTTAGCATTTGTGACAATTTGGATAGACCTAGAGGGTATTATGCTCAGTGAAATAAGTCAGGCAGAGAAAGACAAATACCATATGATTTCACTTATACGTGGAATTTAAAAAACAAAATAGCCCTGGCCGGTTTGGCTCAGCGGTTGGAGCGTCCACCTGCGGTCCGGAGAGACCCGGGTTCGGTTCCCGCTAAGGGCATGTACCTCGGTTGCAGTTTGTCCCCGGCCCTGGTTGGTCGTGCGGGTGGCAGCCATTCGATGTGTCCCTTTCACGTCGATGTTTCCCCCTCTCTCTCTTCCTCTCTCTCCCTCCCACTCTGTTTGTACAAAAAATGGAAAAATGTCCTCGGATGAGGATTAAAAAAATATATAAAAAACAAAATAAACAAACAAAACAGAAACACATAGATATAGAGAACAAACTAATAATTGCCAGATGGGACTGTGGTTGGAGGATTGGATGTAAAAGGTGGAGGGATTAAGAAGTAACAAATTGTCAATTATAAAATAATTATGTGGATATAAAGGACAGCTTAGAGAATATAGTTAATAATATTGTAATAACTATATATGGTGTCAGGTAGGTACAAGATTTGTATGGGGGATCACTTCTTAAGTTATATAAATGTCTAACCACTATGTACACCTGAAACTAATATAATATTGAATGTCAACTGTAATTGAAAAATAAATTTAAATTTTTTTTTTTAAGTTAAGCCTGACAGCGGGAAGAATGGAACCCCAAAGTATGACTAAGGAAGGGAAAGATCACAAAAGAAGGATTTTCTCCTAGGCAATGATGACTTTTAACTTCTTTCCTTCTTCTTCTTCAAATTCCACCCTGTCTTTAAACCAAATCAGTGGTGCCCTGGCCAGTGTTATTCAGTGGTTAGAGCGTTGGCCCACGCATCAAAGGGTTGAGGTTCAATTCTGGTCAAAGGCATGTGCCTGGGTTGCAGGTTTGATCCCCAACGCTGGTCAGGATACATGCAGGAGGCAACCAATCTCTCTCTCTCTCTCTCTCCAACCCCACCTTCACTCGCTCTAAAAATCAATGTGAAAAAATACCCTCAGGTGAGGATTAACACAAAAAAATTTTTTAACCAAATCAGTGGTCCTCAAACCAGGCAAATTTGGGGTTTGGGGTTAGCAATGGAGACTTCGCCTTCCCTAGAGGGTGGAATGTGACTCCGTAGCCATCAAGAGCTGAGCTATGCATTGGTAGCTGCAGGAGAACTTAAACGGTGCCAAGTAGAACACAGAAGCCACCAGGGACTGTGCCAGGGAAGAGAGAAGCTTGGGGTCCCAATAGTTCCACTATCTGAGACCTCTGCATCAAACATGGTTTGTTATCATTCTAATTGTTATACTCTGAGTGTCCTTCTCAAAGTTAGTGTGGCCTGGGGAAGTGTGGGATACAATGTTAGAAGGTTCCAGCTACATGCATCCCATCTGGATAGAAATTCTTTGGGTCACAGCCCCACTAGGTCCCCAGTGCCATGGAAAATGCATGAGATTTGTAAACAATGTTTCACAAATGTTATGCATTTCCAGGATCTTTTCCTCATTGGTGTGATGCAGAATAACATCCACTGAAGTTATCTGTACACCAAGAAAATGTAGACTCAGCATTCATGATGCCTCTGCTTTTTCTATCTGCCCTCAAGCAATCAGCAACATTAAAAGAAAGAGAAATTCTTCCCTCCCCTCACAAAAAATATATAAGTAAATAAATAAAATAAAAGGTTAAGCCAAAGTCACAATCTATACCTACCCCTAAGAGTTAGAATAAAAAAGAGTATGACCAGCATAGGAGGTGATGCAGGGCATGTAGATTAGGCACTGGTTGTGAGGGTCTTCAATGCAGTCCTAAAGAGTTTGGGGGGTTTTTTTGTGTGTTTTTTGTTTGTTTGTTTGTTTGTTTTGGTTTTGTTTTTATAATCCTCACCTGAGGATATTTGTTGTTGTTGTTGTTTGTTTGTTTGTTTTTATCCTCACCCACCTGATATTTTGCTCAGATAGAGTGGGAGGGAGAGAGAGGAAGAGAGAGAGAGAGAAACATCGACGTGAAAGGGACACATCGAGTGGGTTGCCACCCACACGACCCAACCAGGGCCGGGGACAAACTGCAACCGAGGTACGTGCCCTTAGCAGGAACCGAACCTGGGTCTCTCCGGACCGCAGGCTGACGCTCTAACCACTGAGCCAAACTGGTCAGGGCGAGGATATGTTTTTATTGATTTGAGAGAGAGAGAGAGAAACATTGATGTGAGAGAGAAACATTGATCAGCTGCCTCCTGTACACGCCCCAACCAGGAATCAAACCTGCAATTCAGGTATGTGCCTGCCCAGGAATTAAACCCACAATCTTTTTGGTGTATGGGACAATACTCCAACCAACTGAGCCACCCAGCCAGAGCTTAAAGAGTACGATTTTTAAGCAAATATAGATTGGGCTTCTCTGGGCTAAGCCCTGGGTACAGAGATGGATGTGATATTGGCCCTGCCCTTAAAGGTTCGCTTTAGAGTATGTGATGGTGAGGGGTAACCTATAGGAGGCCCTAAAACCTCCTCTTAAATTCCTTATCCTGGGGTTAGAGCTGTCTCCTCACTCTCCAAAGGAGGCAGAGGTGGAAAGAGAGTAACTAAAGAGGCCCTGGTTCCCCATTCCAGCTTAGTCCTCCTCCCCAAGCTCTCCTTCGTGCTAGAATGCTGGGGGTTGGGCTGGAGAGGGAGCCCTCCAAAGTACCCGAGCATCATAGTGCAATTCCCCTGAATAGCTCAAGGACCCGAAAAGATGACTGTACAGAATGCCTTCTAACAGCTTTTTCCAGGCCTTTCCTGCACGCACAGACATGAAAAGTTGAATCCTTCAGTTTTAGGGACCTGGTAATTTTGCTGTTTCCCTCTAGGCTTCCAAGCTTCCTGGTTTCTCTCTGCCTGAAAAGAACTCTCCACCCATAGTCCTCTGCTCTGGGGCTTCCCAACCCAAAGTCCTCTGCCTACCTCAAGGCACACTGCATCTCCCTCTTTCCTCCTCTACTGACCTTGATGGGCAGAGCCTTTCATCTCCTGCAGGACATGCCTGCTCCTCACCTCTGCTCCCCCTGCCCTCTACCCTGTAACCCTCAAATTATCTCCCTGCCCTGAGGGCTCCCTCTTCTAACTCTCTGCACATTTTCCTTAGGAGCTCTCTTTTCAGCTCTCCATCTGAGTCTCCCCAACCCTCTTCCACAAGAGTTCTCTCCAATGCGCCTACTTTGCTTTTGCCTCCCTGCAGTTACACCTATGACTCCATGTGTACAGGCATATGTACACGCCCCATCTCCCTCTGTGCACAGGAAGATGTTGCTGTCTCTTCCTTCCTCTTGCTAACCACTCTTCCCTCCTCCAACCTCGTTTGCTCCCACCTCCTAGTGCACAGGCGAGGTCTCTGTGCTTGTAGAGCCAAGGACAGTGGGGCAGTGACAGACTACAAGGGGAGCACCCTGAGGGAAAAACCAGTCCTGAATTTCCATCTTATTTCTGAAAAAGACTTTGTTGGATGCTTTTCAACTAAAAGAAGGTGATTAATTCAGCCCTGACCTTGTTCTGTCTTTGAATAACAGATAAATTAGCTTACTTGAAAAGAAATCTTTTCATTTATATTTCCATGTCACCTGTGATTTTTCCCTGCCTTCTACCCACAGCTCTGCCAGCTGGCAGGAAGGTCAGCAAAGCTGCTGATAAGAGGAGTATAAAGAGGGCTTGGTTCATGGTTAGGGACAGTGGTCTACTCCGCTGGCAACATGCTGAGCTTACTGGTCTTTGCCACCCTGGTCCTTTATGGTGAGTGGGTCATGTGGCCTGAGTTCTAGGGAGAGGAATTTGAGCAGGAGGGTTGGAAAGCTATCCCTAAGCCCAGACCTGCTCTCTACGCCAGAGCAGGTGGGACACTGCCTTTGAGTCCAGCGAAATCTTTATTCTCCTAGGGCCCATGATAAGAAAGGTCAGGGCAACTCTTCATGCAGGCCCCTCATGAAGCAGAGAGAAGCCTCTCCCAGGGGTCTGGGCTTCCCTACCACCCCCCTTATCAGGAAGACATCCTCAGCAGGTGCCTGGCTGGGATGAGCACTGCTGTCCCTGCCCCTTGAAGAATCCTGCCGAGGACTGGGGCAGGGGTGAGAAACAAGGGGGGTCCCCTCAGGCCAAGGAATGACCCTGAGCAAGACTGAGACCACAATTTGCCTCTGAGGCCCTAGCCTGGTGATTTGAGGTAGGCCTCTCATAGCACGCCAGAGTTCTGAGGACACCCAGGGAAAGCAGAAAGCACTCAGAGTTCCCTGCTTTCAACAAGGGCTCAGAGAACTTGGCAGGGGGAGGTGGTGCTCATTTGCTAGGATGGAACTGTGAATTTGCAGACAAAGCACAACTACCCTCCACCGCCACCATGGGCTGACCCCATGCTTAGTCATCACTCACTTTTCTTCTGCCCCACAAAGGACACAGCACCCAGGATTTTCCGGAAACCAACGCCCGGGTAGTTGGAGGAATTGAGGCCCGGAGGAATTCCTGGCCTTCTCAGGTGGGTGAATCTTCACAGCCTCAGACTTCCAATAAAATAAGAGTTGCCCAGGCACTGATACACAGTATTACAGGTGTTAGTGTATATCCTTACCAACAGGAAGCTCTCTAACTAACTACCTGGATTCTAGATTTTCAAGATGAATGGGACCAGGCTTAGCTGGTTTTTCTAAATGCGAAAGGCTTGAAGAAGGGCATTTAAACACCAACCACACTCACTCTCCAAGGTACTCACCTAAACACAAATCACATTTACACTCCCAGCAACACCACTTGTGCCACATTAACAAGACTGTGTGCTAGACCCGCAATTCAGACTCCACATACCTTAACAAACATTCACACACACACACACACACACACACACACACACACACACACCCCTCCACACGGTATGTGTCACACATTCAAGTGCACGCCTGCCCCCAAGTAGAGCATGTTGTTTATTTGGCCATTTAAAGAATTTCCATTTTCTTTTTTTTGTTCCTCACCCGAGAATATCGTTCTACTTATTATCAGATAGAATGGGAGGGAGGGAGGGAGAGAGAGACAGAGAGAAATATCAATGTGAAAGAGCCACATCAACTGGCTGCCTCCCTCGTGATCCCACCAGGGCCGGGGACGAACCACAACTAAGGTACATGCCCTTGACTGGAATCAAACTTGCAACTCATTGGCCCGCAGGCCGATGCTCTAACTGCTGAGCCAAACCATCCAGGACAAGAGTTTCCATTTTCATAACAGGACAGCTAGGCTCTGATTTAATCAATTCTAAATGTATAAAACTGGCAAATTGAGAGGAATCACTGCAATTAGAATTAAATTTAATTTACTAAAGTTTGATCCCCAGTTTTCAGGAGTAGAGCTATTGTGTAATGTGAGGTGCTGAAGGAGGAGACATGAACTGATAATAATGAACATTCCAATGGTATTTCTAAATATTCCCTGAAGTAGGAGACAGGGTAAACCTTGAAAACATTGGAGGGGAAGCTCTGAGACCTAAGCTTGTGGGTCTTAGTGATGGAGCAAGTCCATAGCTACATTTCCTTCCCAAGAGGAAATGGAGGTAGAAGGACCTGAGTTTTCGGCCTTCTGCAGCAACCTAGAGTTGGGGGCCCAAATACACTCTGTGTGTATGCCTTTACCTCCCCCAACCCACCTATGTACCCAGCAAACACCACCAAACAATGGAGCTCTCTTTCCTGCTGATCCTAGATCATCTACACCCCCTTTCTCACCACCACTCCAGGTAGCCACTACCAATCAGTCAATAGCAATTGACAGGCCAAATGAAACCTATTTGCCATTTCTAGCCCAGAAAGTTGGAGAATGTTCTGAGGGATGGCAGGAATTTAAAGGAGTAACATGTATTTTAGGACAAAGCCTTTTAAGAAACACCACTTATTCTTCCTTTTTTCCCCTCCCCATCTAGATTTCCCTCCAGTACCGATCCGGAAGTAACTGGTATCACACCTGTGGAGGTACCCTCATCAGACAGAACTGGGTGATGACAGCTGCTCACTGTGTAGACAGGTGAGGAAAAACAAAGATCAGCTTTACTGAGCCCCTGAGAGGGGAAGGGTCTGGCCCTTCTGGAGGAATATGTATCTTTAACCACTCAGGGCAAGACTTTAAGGGGCTGTTTGGGGGCCTGTGGGAAGCATATAGAATATATATCCTATATATATATATTCTATGGATACATGGCTGCTAACAGTTTTTTCCTATGGAGCAATGGTTCTCATTTGAGCATGTATCAGAATCTCCTGGCAAGCAAAGATTGCTGGGCCCCATCTAGCAGTTTCTGATTTGGTAGGTCCAGGGTGGGGCCTGATAATCTGCATTTGTAACAAGTTTCCAGGTTATGCTGATGCTGCTGGTCTAGGGGCCATGCTTAAGAATTCCTGGTCTAGAAGTTTATACTTTCCTCAAAAATCCCTCTGTGGGCCAAAAGACATTATGTCATTTATGCTCACCTCACCTCTCTCATGAGATATTCAGCTCATGATATTTAGTTTAATAAACTGGGAAAATGAAGGTGCGGTAGTTCTTGTCATTCCCACAAGTTAGTGAATTAGGAAATGAGAGAGTTTGTTACTTCATCATCTAAGGTTTTTCATCCTTCCTTTGCCTGGGCCAGATAAAATGAGTTCCTGTCCTAAAGATAAGATATAATCTGGCTTCCCAATTTTTCCCTAAGGGGGAAAGAGAAGGTTTGAGCACCCTGAATCACCCAGTGCTTCCTTCTCTCATTCCAGCTCAATGACATTCCGTGTGGTGGTTGGAGACCACAATCTGAGCCAGAACGACGGTACTGAGCAGTACGTGAGTGTGCAGAGGATCGTGGTGCATCCATACTGGAACAGCAACAATGTGGCTGCCGGGTACGGGCAAGGCTGGGCTGGCCGTGGGCTGGGAGGTGGAGGGCTGACTAACAACAGGGTTTTGGCTTCCTTCACATTCATTCAGGAGGACTGTGAGAATTTAGATTTTGGAGAGTTTGAGAATTTTTTTTAAGATTTCTGGTATTTATTTGATCTAGGCTGGTTTACATGATTGGATCACCTGAAGCTCCTCTGCAGAGTTGAATGTTTCTGTTTTTATTGTTATTTATTATTAAATTTATGGAATACACTCCATCAGCAAAAGTAAATTTCTTAAAATAAATCTTACGTAAGAAAACTCCTCCAAAAATGAACTGTATGTACTCTTTTGGAAAAGAAGTTGTCAAAATGGGTCAATTCTATAGAATATGGGGGTTGGAATCGGTTCAAGTAATTGGTATATTTCTGCAGAGCTTTCAGAACCACACAGATCTTTACATCTTTCTTCCTTGAGAACTTCTCTGCTACCATCATCACACCACTCTGCTCCTTCCTGATTCCCCACTTACAACTGAAAGATGTAAGCTCCACTCCCCTGGGTTGCAGGGACCAGAGCTAGACTACAACACCAAGACCTCACCAGCACGTGCTGCTATTAAATATATAATGTCCTAACAATCCAAATGTATAATGCCTCAAGTTTGAGACTTAGCAAGTCAGCCCCCTCCTTCTTCAAAATCACTGGTTTCCAACTCTATGGGGACACAAAGGCTCAGTGAGGGCCTGCCCATATGCTGACCTGAAGCCTGATGCCACGAGTGAGTAGTCTCTTCTCCTCCCACAGCTACGACATCGCCCTGCTGCGCCTGGCCCAGAGCGTTACCCTCAACAACTATGTCCAATTGGCTGTACTGCCCCGCGAGGGAACCATCCTGGCTAACAACAGTCCCTGCTACATCACAGGCTGGGGCAGGACCAGAAGTAAGTCATCTACATGGGCACCATCTACCACATGAATCTTGATTAGTTGAGCTTCTAGGACACAATTTTCTCTGGTCCTGGGTATTCATAGCCAGGGGCCAGAAACCAAAGGAACCACAGATAAAATAAATGAGACATGAAATCAAGCTAAGAACAGGCCATGGAATCAAGTCAGAGTTTCATAGACACTTATTAGTAAAAGAGTATTATGTACTAACTTCTCATTTTATACACGAGGAAACTGAGGCCCAAGGAATTAAAGACCTTGTACAAGATCACATGACTAGTTATTAACTACTGAGCTGGGGCCAGAACCCAGGTATCCTAGCTCCCACTTTTGTGGTCATTATAACATCATGCTACCTCCATAGATAGTTACTGGGTTTTGGGTTGGAGTGAGTGAACCAGGGGTACCTGTAGGTCCAGAAAAGTCAATGCAGAGGAAGCCTCAGCCTTCTTCTGGTTGTCATGGGAAGATTTCTGGTAGGGAATGTCATTCAGATAACGTACAAAGTGGGAGAGGCTATGAGCAGAGATAGTTAAGAAATCCAGAGATGGTAGGCCTGACATAGAAGTCTATCAGCCACCAGGCAGTGTTTGAGCTCTGAGAGAGGCCAGACCTTGTTACGAGAACCAGTCTACTGAGAAAACCTGGAGCTGAGAGACAAACTTCTAATCCAGCTCTGCTCTCAGTTCACTTAATGTCACTGTGGTTCAGTTTCATGGTCTTTAACAGGAAAGGGTTGTAAGGATCCAAAGAAATAATTCATGTGCAAAGGCTTTGAAAAGTCAAAGAACACAAATAAAGAAAAGCTGCACCAAGCTCTTAAAAATAGAAACAAGGGTGTGCAGTCCTAGTTCTGCTTCCTGGGGTTTGCAGTGTAAGGAAAAGGCAGGACAGGCAGATAAGTTACCAGCAAATAATTCTAGTTACTTAACTAGAGGTATTCATGAGTTTAAAAAAAAAAAAAAGCAGGAGTAAGATTGGTTGTTTAGAGCCAGGGAACAGTAATCAAGGATGACTCCCTGAAGGAAGGGGCCTGTAGATTCCATACAGCGAAAAGAGGAGGATCTATGTATGACATGCAACGGGCAGAGAGAAGGAGCTTTCCCTGAGTTCAGCTTTCATCAGAGCTGGGGAAAGTTTGGGAGGATGTGGAAGGTTTTCCCTTAGACAGCATTTGGGCTGATCTCCAATGCTGTGTGTCCTGTTCAGCCAATGGGCAGCTGGCCCAGACCCTGCAGCAGGCTTACCTGCCCACTGTGGACTACGCCACCTGCTCCAGCACCTCCTACTGGGGCTCCACTGTGAAGAACACCATGGTGTGCGCTGGAGGAGATGGAGTTCGCTCTGGATGCCAGGTGAATACATGTAGGAAGTGTCCAAAGTCCCACCCAGGTCCCTCCCCTCTCTGCCTACCATACCCCACCTTTTCCTCACCTCCTGTTCCACACCTACTCACAACCCATGCACACGCTCAACTGTCTACTCTGGTTTCTGAATGAGAGTAATTCTGTGCTGTAACTCTATGCTTACAGGATCCCAAAGTTGAAAAGAATCTTAAAATGCATCCTGCCTAAAGCCCCCACCTCAAAAGCTTGTACATGGCCTAACATTTGTGTTGGTAAATGTGTGTGCTGTTTAGATTTTATTCATGACCTAGATTTTTTATGGATGCAGTGGGGCTAAGCCTGGAGTGGTTGTAATTTTGTATAAGGTAGCCCCCTTCCCATCAATCCCAATTATTCTTTTTTTTTAATTTTTTTATTAATTTATTTTTGTTATAGATGTTTCTCCTTTTTTTCCCATTGACACCCTCCTCCTCATCCCCCCTACCCCATACCCAACTTTGTTGTTCGTGTTCATCAGTTACACATACATATAGAAGTTCTGTGTTTTATCTCTTCCCTCCCCCCACCACCCCCTATTCTGAGGGTTGTCAGTCTGTACCCTACTTCCACATCTCTGGGTCTACCCAGTTCCTCAGACCATTATGTTCATTATATTCCACAACTAAGTGAGATCATGTGATATTTGTCTTTCTCTGATTGGCTTGTTTTGCTGAGGATAATACTTTCCAGGTCCCTCCATGTTGTCTCAAAGGATAAGAGATCTTTCTTTCTTACAGCTGCATAGAACTCCATTGTGTATATGTACCACAGCTTTTTTATCCATTCGTCTACTGATGGGCACTTGGGCTGTTTCCAGATCTTAGCTATTATAAATAGTGCTGCTATAAAAATGGGGGTACATATATTCTTTCTGATTGGTGTTTCAGGCTTCCTAGAATATATTCCAAGAAGTAGGATCACTAGATCAAATGGAAATTCAATTTTTAATTTTTTGAGGTAACACCATAGTGTTTTCCATAGTGGCTGCACCAGTCTGCATTCCCACCAGCAGTGTACTAGAGTCCCCTTTTCTCCACACCCTCGCCAACACTTGTTGTTTGATGATTTGTTGATGGCGGCCATTCTGACAGGTGTGAGGTGATACCTCATTGTTGTCCAATTATGCTTATAGCTCCTCTACTACCACCCTTTTGCCCTTTAGTATTTACAGCTGTACATACAGGTGAATATAGCAGGGGAAAGTACACAAATGGTTTTATAATAGTGTAAATATATATATTTATTTACACTATATATTTACACTATTATATATATACTTATATATATGAATAATAGAATCTTCTATTTAGACAAGATCAATCAGCAATACATCATCTATAGATTTCTTAGTGCAATTCAATAAATGCTCTTGATTATCTACTAAATAAAATGCCAGGCACTGTGCTAAGTGCTAGGGACACAAAGATAAATCAAACACAGTGGAGGAATGGGAAGAGCAGACATATTATAGAACATTGTAATACAATATGGTTAAGTATTAAAATAAAGATAAGTACCAGGTGATATGGAAGTCCAAAAAATAGGTACTTACCTCTATCTGTTGGTCAGAAAAGATTTGCCTTCCCTGAGAGAGTGGAGTGTGTAGTGAGTCCTGAAGGTTAAACTGGAGAAAAAGGGGAAAGCTATTCAGAGAAAGGGAATAGCATGAAGAAATGTATGGGCCAAGAACCTAGGTAGGACACATAGAGAATTATAGGGTGTTTCCTACTGCCAGCTAGAGCAGAGATCAAAGCCCACAGCCTCCAAATCCAGCTTGCTGCCTATTTTTGTTTGATCCATGAGCTAAGAATGGTTTTTACATTTTTAAATGGTTGGTGGGGATTGGGAAATGAAAGTCATGACACATGAAATATATAAAATTTCAATGTTCATAAAAAGTATGTTACTGGAAAATAGCATAGTTGTTTACTACATATTGTTTATGACTGCTTTCGTGGAATTGAGTAGTTGCAGAGACTGTATGGCCTGCAAAGCCTAAGATATTTACTATTTGGCCCTTTACAGAAAATGTTTGCTGGCCTCTTGAGCTAGAATAACATAAACTATCATCATACTAGGGAATGTCAGGAGATAACCCTAGGGGCAAGTAGGAGCCACATGACTTAGGGCTTTAAATGTCATGCTTGGGGACATGAACTTTATCACTTAGGTACTGGGAAATTATTGAAGAATTTTAAACAGGAGAACAGCATGATCAGATATGCCTTTTAGAAGCACTCTCTGATGACAAGATAATCATGTTTTTGAAGATGGTAAGGTTGACAGGGAGACTGATTAGGAAACTACTGGAATTATCCAGGCAAGAAATTTGAGGGCCTGAATTAGGACAGTGGAGAAGAGGGAAGAAGGAGGATATAAGATGAGTTACAGGCATTTGGTTTAAGTGACTTGAGAGAAGGATTTGCTCCCTTAAATGAGACAAGATTTATAGGATTTGGGAGGCAAGGTAATGAGTTTGGTTCTGGATAAGTTGAGTCTGAGATCCCTGTGGGATTTTCTGGTATAGTTAACTGGTAAGAAATCAAATCTAAAGAAAGTGGAACCTAGGGGAGAAAGATGGCTAGAGATACCCCTCTAAAAAAAGGGTTTTATTGGTTTTATTTTTTTAGAGAGAGTAAGGGAGAGAGAGATAAAAACATCAATGTCAGAGAGAAACATCAATTGGCTACCTCCTGCACACCCCCTCCTGGGGATCGAGCCCACAACCCTGACCAGGAATCAAATGGGGACCTTTCAATCCATGGGATGATGCTCAATCCACTGAGCCAAACTGGCCAATAGAGGTACCCTTAACAACAACTGAGATGTCCCCCTTCCCCAGGAAAAACTGCTAGAAAAAGAAAAAGGCAGTGAGTTAGCAGAAGAACTGTGATAACATAAATACTGAGTGCTTGAAAGAGAGGAACAATAAAAATCTGGTAGCTTTAAGAAGGATGAGAAGTCAAGAAGGAGGTGGATCTTTTAAGAGGGAAGAAAATTGAGTGTGTTAAATAGGCAGAGAGAGAATGATCCTGTAGAGTCAAAGAGAGAGAATAAATGGATGGCAAAAGATCCCAGAGAAGACAGAAAAAAATGGAACCAAGAGCATAGATGGAGCTGGCTTTGAACAGAGAGAGGGACATAAAAATGTGCATAAACATGAAAGTGTGTGCATGCTGGGTAGGTGGAAGTTGGCAGGTGTTCTGCATTATTGCTTCTATTTATTCATAAACTAAGAGTTAGACTGGATGCTGAAAATGAAGAGTAAAGGGTTGAATGGGTCTGGATTAAAGTGAATGGGAGACAGATTGGCCTCCAAAATATTACTGATAGCTGAGGTTAGAGATCACACAATAACCATTCAATAACCACTCAAAGACCCAGTTGTAGAGAATGGAATAATCCAGGATTTAGGTTTTCCTGCATTACTGGGGCAAAAGGACAGGACTGCAGATTAAATGCAAGGTCCAAACTAGGTGAAGGAAAAAGAGAAGCGAGCAGGAAACCGGTAGGCTGGCTAAAATTCTAGAAGCAAAAGATTCGTTTTTTGTGAGCGCTTAGTACTATGGAAGTAAGGTGACCAGTTTTCCCAGGACTTTCCCAGTGTTAAAACTTAAAAGTCCTGTATCCTAGGACTACATGCAAGGAGGGGCAAAAAAGAAACAAAGGCATAAGGCAACCTCTTTCAGGTCTTCATCAGCCAGGTTAACCTGTAACCTCTTAAGGGTTAACCTTTTTGAGCTAATCCACTTGCCTCTGCTCTCTCCCGGGGTCTTTTTATTTTTTTAATAATAGAAATATCTCTTTAGTCTCTTTATTGTCCCTTACTTTTATTTTATTTTACGTTATTTTTTGTCTTTCATGACACTGACATTTTTGAAGAGTCCAGTTGTCCATAACCAGTTTCAAAGAAAGGTAGCCAAGGGGGTCATCCAGCCTTATGGCTCAGAAACTGAAACAGAATTTAGCTTAAAATGTTATCTTTAGCCTGCCAGGCGCTTAAACCTTGTGACCTTTAGTCGAAACTTGGTAGTTACATTCTGCTGCTTCAGAGGTCAACAATCACGTAGGTAAGAAACTAAGATCAGGTCAGTGAAGTGTGAGTTCTGGAAGCTGGGAGTCCAACCAAGGGGTCAGCAGGTTTGGTTTCTTCTTAGGCCTTTCTCCCTAGGTTTCAGATGGTGACTGTGCTGATTTCTCATGTAGTCTTTTCTCTATGCATGCTCATCTCTATGCATGCATGTTCTTTTTGTGTCCAAATTTCTTGTTCCCTCCCAGGGTCTCGAATTCTGAAAACTAGAGCACTTCTCTTCTGGCTGCCACTCCAAATTGACAGTTCTTTAAGAATTGTGTCTCTGGGTCCCTTCCCACTGGAGTTTTCCAAATAGTGTGCCTTCTAGGTTTTCAGACTTCTGTATCCCCAACCCCTTTCCAGAGAATGAATTCTCTGAGCTCCTCTTACTCAATCCATGTACTCCCACTGAGCTCTTGTCCATCTCTTCCTTCTGTCCTAAAATCCTCAGCCATGCCCTCCATCTCGCTGGAGCCTTTGTTTCTTTTCAGGTCAATTAACATAAAACAATAGTATCACACACAATTCAATTACCCTTCTGTCCAATAGCCCAGAAATACTCTCAAACCCCTATTAGAATTTGGGTAGAAGAGGTTTAATTGTTTTGTTTTGAGTACAATAATCTAAATAAAGCATCTTATTTGCCTAAGCAGTAGTTAAGGTGGGGTACAGCTAGTTCCTTTTTATTATGTATGTATGTATTTATGTATTTATTTATTTATTAATCCTCACCCAAGGATATATTTTCCATTGAGTTTTAGAAAGAGTGGAAGGAAGGGCGGGAGGGGGAGAGAGAGGAACATTGATGTGAGACACATGGACTGGTTGCCTCCCACATGACCTCGATCAGGGCTGAACCTGCAACCCAGGCATGTGCCCTTGACTGGGAAATGAATCCAGGACCCTTCAGTGTGCAGGCTGATGCTCTAACCACTGAGCACCACTGGCCAGGGCACTAGTTTCTTTTTAAAAGAAATCCTCAATTTGAACTTTTGGTCTCTCTCCATGGTTCTTTTTTTAATTTAGTTTTAACTTTTTATTGAAGTTATATGTATTAAATTGCTTAAGGTGGCGAATAAAACTATGAGGCTTAATAATGGAAAAGAATAGTCATTGTGTTCCTTCTACACCTTGAGTTCTTGCTCCCCAGAAGGGACTACTTCCAACTTTTTTCAGCTGACTTTTGGTTACTGCTTCCATACCACTCTAAAATATATATATTTATATTGCTTCTTAATTTTTCCGTTCGGGCATTATGAGAGATGCAGATATCTCTTCTTTTTACACATATATACTTGCCCCCAAGCCTGAACTTTTCCTATCACCACCTCAATCTCCAAAAATAAATGTTTAGATTAACATTTAATGTTTATTATGATTATGTAAAATGCTATTCGTAACCAAACCAAGTATTCTAAGACTGCTTTTCATTTCCTGCATAAATTTGTTTTCCCTGGAAAATAATAATTATTTTTTTTATTTGCATAATATATACTCAACTAATTGCTAATTCAACCCCTACACTCCATTAATTTGTAAGGGACTTATTTTGTCTTCTCTTATTCCTAGTGGTCTGTGTCTTGGTATGGGTCTATTTGCATTTATCATGATTTTTTTCATTCTGGAAAGTCCAGAGCTTTGTTTCTGAAAACATGTATTGTTGATTTCCTCCCCTCCATTTTTATTTGCTCTTTCTAGAATTTATTATTCACATGTTTACCTCCTAAATTGGCCCTCTTATTTTCTATATATCTTGTTTGTTCTACTTTATTTTCCAACACTACCAATATTTTATTTATACTATCAAATTCATAATTTCCAATGGCTCTTTTTGTTTTCTGAATGTTCTGTGTAATAGCATGCTGTTCTTGTATCATGGATGCAATATTAATCATAGTTTTATTGTCTGTTTTCTTCTCCCTGCATAATCTTAGTTGCCTTCGTTTTTTGTTTGATCTTTATTTTTATTTTTATTTATTTTATTTTTTAAATATGTTTTTATTGATTTTTAGAGAGAGAGGAAGAGGGAGAAGGAGAGAAACATCAATGTGAGAGAGAAACATCAATCAGCTGCCTCCTGCACGCTCCCTATTGGGGATCAAGCCAAAAACATGGGCATGTGCCCTAGCCAGGAATCAAACCAGGACCTCTCAGTCCATGGGACAACACTCAATCCATTGAGTCACACTGGCTGGGCTGATCTTTATTTTTACATTAGAGGCTTTCTTCAAATGTTTGACGATCCTTGACTATCTGCTCTTACTTCAGAGTGGGGTTGTAAAAAGCAGATAGGTAGCTCTGAACTTTAAGTGGGGTTCATCTATAGCGAACAGCTTTTTCAGGTGATTTAGCTAGGCCACTTCATTGGAGAACTTCCAATGTCAGTATCTTTAGGTCTGCCCTCTTATGCTGATCAGATTATCCCGAGAAATATCTTCCAATTTTATGTCTGGAATTACAGAACTGGTATTCTGGGGACTAAGTAAGAAGAAGCATGTCAAGATCATATTCTATAAACCCAGATTCCTGATTCTAAGCCTGAGCATGTAACCACTACCCCCAATACATTACTTTCTCTCCTCTTCACCCCAGTTTAGTTTAACATGTGTTGACTACCTACCTTTTGTCTAAATGCTGTTTAATTAGACCCATTGGTCTAAATGCTGGAGATAAAGAAATCATTGGAAGACCCTATTTCTCCCATCCCAGGTTCAATTTAAGTCAATAAAAGCTATTAAGCTTTCAGCGGTTCTCAATATGTGGGTCGCGACCCCTTTGGGGGTCGAACAACCCTTTCACAGGGGTTGCCTAAAACAGAACAGTAGCAAAATTATAGTTATGGAGTAGCAACAAAAAATAATTTTATGGTTAGGGGTCACCACAACATAAGGAACTGTATTAAAGGGTCGCGACATTAGGAAGGTTGAGAACCATTGCTAGATGTTCAAAGTTCTATGCTAGCATTGTGGAAAGAAAATATCAGTAAGACACAGCTCCTGTCTCAAGCTCTTAGATGTGTGTGGGAGGTAGAAACAAATTATAAAACCAAAATACAAGGCAGACCATGACATAAATAATGCAAAATAAAGGAAGAAGTACTATGGTTGTTTAGAAAGGAAAAAGAGCCCTGGCCTGTTTGGTTAAGTGGTTAGAGCATCAGCCCACAGACCAAAAGGTCTCAGGTTCAATTCCCAGTCAAGGACATGTACCTGGGTTGCAAGTTCAATCCCTGGCCCCAGTTGGGTTGGTGCGGGAGACAGCTAGTCAATGTGTCTCTCTCACATTGATTTTCCCTCCCTCTCCCTTTCTCTCTCTCTTCCTCCCTTCCACTCTATATCTAAAAATCAATGGAAAAATAAAAAAATATCCTCAGGTGAGGATTTAAAAAAAAGGAAGAAAGAAAGGAAGAAGAGATTCATCCTGATTATGGGATTATGAAGCAAGTGGTGATTTTAATTGGAGTTTTAAAACTGTACAGAATTTTACAAACAGAGATGGGGGAGTGCAGGATATAAGCAAAAGCCCAAAGATCAAAATATCTAGAATTTCAGGACTCTGCTTTTATTCCCTGCAGGGTGATTCTGGTGGCCCCCTCAACTGCTTAGTGAATGGCCAGTATGCTGTCCATGGAGTGACCAGCTTTGTGTCCAGCCAGGGCTGTAACGTCTCCAGGAAGCCTACAGTCTTCACCCGGGTCTCTGCTTACATCTCTTGGATGAATAATGTGAGTCCCCTCAAATAATTGGTTAAAACAGGGTCACCTGGAGACCTGTGCACTGGCTGGGTTGGGGAGCAAAAGTTGAACAGAAGAAGCCATAATTTTCCTCACCACATTCATATGTTTTATTCCTTTCCCTTCCCTCCATAGCGTACTTTCCCTCAATATCATCTTGAGTTCCCCTTCACATACTCACCAAGCAGGCTTCACCATATTGTTTACTGCTTAGGGTAAGGTGGTGGTGACAACAGATCTGAACCAGGCACATATCACTGTTGTCCTAAGTTAAAGCCAAAGGAAAAACAACTTCTGAAGGCCTGCATGCTTCTGGACAAGAAAAGAGGCACTAACACTCTCTCCTAATGTGAGATTTGCTCTACCCTTTGGAAAGAGGTTTCATTACTTAAACAATGTTTGAGGGTTAGGTGAGACTCTACCTATAGTGGCCTGGTGGGAGAGCCTCACAAGCATCCCTCCTGTGCCTTCCAGCCTTCTAACACATTCTGGAGTCTTATGGCATGAACATTGACTCACAGACATTTCAAAGTCTGTCCTTGCCACTAAGTCTTGGGTATGTGCCTATAACACTGATGCCTGGCCAGTGTGGCTCAATAGATTGAGCATTGTCCCATGGAGTGAGAGGTCCTGATTCGATTCCTGGTTAGGGCACATGCCTGGGTTGCAGGCTCGATCCCCAGTAGAGGGCATGCAGGAGGCACAGTTGAAACCTACTTCCTGCCCCACAACCTCTTAACTCCCCATAAACCAATATAGGGCCATACTCAACTAAGAACCCTGAAGGAAAAATAAAGGAGGTGGGCAGAAGTAACTGATTGTGGATATAACTGGCTTTTCCTTCAGGTCATCGCCAGCAACTGAACTCTTCCTGAGTACAACAGCCATCCTCAGATGATTCTTCAATTCACAGCAGGACTTGAGACCATCACGAAAAAAACATTCTAGAAGACTATTGAGCCAGATACAGAAAACCAAATAAAACTGCATATACATTGTCAACCTGTGTCTTTTTATTTGTAATTAGGCTCTCTCGAAAAATGCAGTTATAGATCCCAAGTTGGATTTCACCACATTTCTGAACTGGTTCTTCCATTTGCTGCCACCTCTACCAGTTCACAAACTAAGCCATGTGGGAGTGGTTTTATATTATTTTAGGATCTACCTATCCATTAATCTGCCCATCTGCGCTCCTCTTATGCATATTTGCTATATTCAAAGGCACAGAGTACTTTTAGCCCAGCTGGTGTAGCTCAGTGGTTGAGCATTGACCCATGCACAAAGGTCACTAGTTCAATTCCTGGTCAGGGCCCATGCCCAGGTTGTAGGCCAAATTCCTAGTGGGGGGCATGCAAGAGGTGGCCAATCAATGTTCTCTCTCATCAATGTTTCTATCTCTCTTCCTCTCTCTCCCTCTCCCTTCCTCTCTTTCTAAAATCAATAAAGAAAAAAAAATTTTTTTAAGGCCAGAGTACTTTTAAATGCTCCTGAGTGACAAAATGTGCACTGATCTCCCAGGTACACTGTGGGCTCCTCCTTCTTTTGTTTCCCCCTTCAGTGCCTAGAACAAGTGTTCACCCCAAGGTTCTGGATGATGGCAACTTCATACTAGGGAACACTAGAGACAGGAGTACAGGATTAGTTGGTAGGTCAGATGCCAGCAAAGAAAGTGGCAAATTAGAAAGGACACTGGGAAGAAAAAAAAATAGAAAAAGGGACAAAAACAAAACAAAACAATGTTTAACAAAGAAAAGAAATAATTAAGGGGAAGAGGCAGAACAAAAAGAGAGAGGAGACAATAATATGTGACCTCATGTAAACCACAGCCACAGGCACATCCACTTGCACCAGAAGCACTCGGGGGGCCAAGGTAATGCCGGTGGCATGCATCATCACAGGATCAAGTTGGATAACTATCACTCAGGTTACTAGGGGAAAGTTGGTATGAGGAATTACCACTTAAAGAGAAACCAGAGCTTCTGTCCAACTGTCAACCTTGATAAACTGTGGACCTTTGTCAGTGAGTAGACATGAGTAAATGCTACCAAAAACAACACTGGAGCTGCTCCTATCATTGATGTGGTGTGAACGGGCTACTACAAAGTTCTGAGGAAGGGAAAGCTCCCAAAGCAGCCTGTCATTATGATGGCCATATTTTTCAACAAGCTGAAGGGAAGATTAGAATGTTGAGAATCCTGTGTGCTTTTCAAAAAAAAAAAAAAAATATATATATATATATATATATATATATAATCTCCAAACTAAGAATGAGTCAGCACTTCAAGGCTGGGACAAAAATAGGCAACCTAATCCAGGGTTCTATAACCAGAGAGAACTGTGAAGCTGATAATTTCATCCTGGCCAGGGTTCAGTCTGTTAGAGTGGTCTACGATAAAGTGAAGAGGAAAATGAGAGGAGAAGACTAAGAGGATGAGAAGCATCTTTTCTTTTTTAAGTCAGTTTAAATTTTTATTGGCTGATAAAGAGCTACCACACATTCTTCCCATCTCATGCTTCTATTCCTGAATTTAATTTGCAAAGGGAAGCAGAGACCAAAAATTTTATTTAACAAAATTAAACATGTGAGGGAAAATGCTAATTTTTAGAAAATAAAACATATCTCTCAGAGAAAATGTTTTTTTGTATATCTTTTTTTTTTTTTTTAATCCTTACCTGAGAATATTTTTCCATTTATCTTCAGCTAGGGAGGGAGGGAGGGAGAGAGAGAGAGAAGAACAACATCAACATGAGAGGGACACATCGAGTGGCTGCCTCTTGCATGACCTTGACCAGGGCCAGGGACTGAATCGCAACCGAGGTACATGCCCTTGATCGGAATCAAACCCGAGATTCTTTGGACCTCAGCTCTAACCGCTGAGCCAAACCAGTCAGGGCATGTATATCATATTTAAAATGCAGTTTTGTTTTCCATTTAGGAACTGTGAAAAACACATATTTAAAATGTCTTTGGTCCTGGCCAGTGTGGCTTAGTTGGGTGGAGCATTGTCCTGTACAACGAAAGGTTGCAGGCAGATCAGGGCACATGCAGGAGGTAACCAATCAGTGTTTCTCTCTCTCTCCCTCTTTCTCTAAAACCAGTAAAAAGCATGTCTTTTTACAGGTAAGGATTAAAATGTCTTTGGGAAGATGCCCCATTTTGCAATGTGTGCTCTTTCAGATTCTTTTGGGCTATGGATGTTGAGAAGTAGTCCATGTTCTCATTTCCTATGTCAATAATGCCTGACAGAGCCTTCTATTATTCACCTGTCTGACATCTTATCCAGAATTAGTGGAGGGGCAAAAATTCTTGCCCGGTTTGTTTCTACAATGCAGCCATTGAACACCATCTCATCAAAAATGATGTGTACTTTATCCAAATTAAACATTCTATCCAATTCACTCACTCAGCTGAAGTTCTCATCTAAAACTTCCATAAAGTTATGAAGTCATAAATCGCCATCTCATTCTCAGTGTCATTAACTCCAACTATGATGATAAGAGCTGCATAGTGTTGATATATCAGCTTAAAATCCTTACATTCCGCAAAAGAGCACTGTGCAGCTCAGGGTGGCGTTTGTCCTGGCCACAGTTCTTCCTAGAATCCTCCTCCCCCTTTCCCACACTCAACTAGTTGTATGGTGCAGGCTTCCATGGGGTAGTCATTTTGAGAAGGAACTTTCCATAGCAGTCACTGAAGACCAGACAAGAGGTACGAGGGTAACCAGCTAAGATAAGTCCTGGGATTTGTAGGTTGCTATGTCAGTAGAGGCCTCTAGAACAGTGTATACACTGTAAGAAGTTGGGCTGGAATCAGGATGCCTGTATTCCCAATCTGTTTCACACTAAAGAATGGGTAACCTCGGGCAAGCCACCAGCCCTTTCTGTGACTCAATTTTCCTATCTAGTTAACTTCTAACGATTGTTCCTGCTCTAATATTACATGATTTGGTGACCATCGATTTAAGTTCCAGAGAGATTAGCACTGAAGAGAGTTTCTTAGGAGGCAGTGACTGGGCTGCATTGTTGACAATGCTGTGGATTCCTGAGAATGACATAGGTATTGGCCTCCTTCTACTAGTGACACACCTGTTATCATCACCATCTTCTCTCAACTGTCCCCACAGTACCACCATTCTCTGGGTTTCTCCCTATCCAACATCAAGTTCTTCCATTTTCTTCATTCTGTCCTTTCTAGACCATCCTCACAACTAACATTCAGAATAAACTATTGATCTATTACCTGAAAATATTGTATCTATATCTACAAATGAATAACATATATAACATAACATTATAATCATCTGATTACCAGCCTTTCTCCATCTCCTGACATTAAGCATCTGAGATTAAAGATTACATTTTTTTTCTTTTTCTGGTACGTACCCCTAATGGGAATCAAACCCAGGACTCTCTGGTCTGCAGGCCAATGCTCCAACCGTTGAGCCAAACTGGCCCAGGCAAAGATCACATATTTTAAATTCATTTTCAGCTTCCCAACACTCAGCAATGCCTGTCACATGGTTGATCCTTTGTGTAGTACATCAATTTTGGGGAATGACCTGGAAAACAATACTTATCAAGGTCCTCTAATATTGTCTCAGGCCTCCAGCTCCCATCTCCACTCCTTAGGAAGTGTATTTTGACCCTCTTCCCTTCCTTAAGGTTATTTTATCTGCATTGAAAAATCCTTGAGTAAATGGTTTCTCTGAACCTAGTGTCCTAATTTCCAGCTATCTCCTCAAACAGGTCAGAGAGTAACTTCCTGTTGGAGACCTTCTTCCTAGAGAAGCAACAGTTGCCAATAGCAGCAGTCTCCACGCCAACTTTCACAATCTGTCTTCACATTCTGCCTCCTTCTAATAAGTCGTACTAATTTATCAAGCTAGAAAGAATTGCTCTCCATCCCCAGCACAGGCTTTCATACTCTCCTCATTTTTTCCCCAATAAGATCCTCTCCTTCCCTATTTCTATCTCTACCTCAATTGTTCTTCCCTTTCGAATCCAGGTGTGGACTCTATCCCTACCAGTTCTAGGTTTAGAACCAACCTCTCTGACAGAGGCTTTCCATCTTTAAAAACTGTAATCTGGCCCAGCCGGTGTGGCTCAGTGGTTGAGCATCGACCCATGCACCAAGAGGTTGCCTGTTCGATTCCCCATCAGGGCACATGCCCAGGTTGTGGGCCCAATCCCCAGTGGAGGGCATGCAGGAGGTGGCCAATCAATGTTTCTATCTCTCTCCCCCTCTCCCTTCCTCTCTAAAGTCAATAAAGAAAAATAAAATTAAAAAAAAACTGTAATCTGGCTCTAGCTGATGTGGTCCAGGTTAGAGCATTGGCCCTGGCACCGAAGAGTGGAGGATTCAATTCCTGGTCAAGGGCACCAACAATCCAGCCCCAGTTGGGGTGTGTGGGAGGCAACCAATCAATCACATTGATGTTTCTCTCTTTCTTTCACCCCACCTCCCTCTTCTCCACCCTTTCTAAAAATCAAAGCAAATTCCTTGGGTGAAGATTAATAAATTTTTTAAAATATTTTTTCTTTATTGATTTTAGAGAAAAAGGGAGAGGGAGATAGAAACATTGATGAGAGAGAACATCAACTAGAGGCCTCCTGCATGCTCACCACTGGGGATTCGGCCCACAACCTGGGCATGTGCCCTGTCCAGAACCGAACCGGTGACCTCTTGGGGCATGAGTTGACACAACCACTGAGCCACACTGGGCCAGATTAATAAATTTTTAAAAAACCAAAACTGTAACCTGAAGTAAGAAGTACATTTTACTTGGCCACCCAGATAAGCGAACCGCGTTTTCCTGTACAAAAAATACTCTTGCTGAGTGAAAATCACAATATTTTTACCCCATTGTTTCCGTTATTTTCCAGCGTGGATGGTTGTAGCTAACTGGCTCTCGGGAATGAATGAGTCTAGGCACCCCCCCTTGAAAACTGTTCACTGGGGCTGGTGTTCCTATACCTTAGGGCTGGAGAGCTTTGACGGTGGTCTTGAGGGAGCGCCCCGGAGGGCAGGCCCGAGTTTCCGGCCTCCTCCCAACAGGCCCAGCTACTACCCTGAGCTCCAGAAGTTCCCACTTGGCCCCTGGGCCGCACCCCTAAGCTGGACCATGGGGAGGGCTTCAGGGGTCAGTGCTGGCTGGGCTCGAGTGGGTCTCAGGGTGGCCGTTGTCTGGGCCCAGGCTTGCTGCACTGGGTTTCGGGGTGGCATCAGGGTGGAGTCAGGATGGTCCTGGGTGGCTTCAGGGTGGTCTCGGGTGGTCCTGAGGCACCTGGAGTGGTCTCGGGGTGGTCCTGGATGGCTTCAGGGTGGTCTCGGGGTGGTCCTGGATGGCTTCAGGGTGGTCTCGGGTGGTCCTGAGGCACCTGGAGTGGTCTCGGGGTGGTCCTGGATGGCTTCAGGGTGGTCTCGGGGTGGTCCTGAGGCACCCGGGGTTTTCTCGGGGTGGTCCTGGGTGGCTTCAGGGTGGTCCTGAGGCACCTGGGGTGTTCTCGGGGTGGTCTCGGGGTGGCTTCAGGGTGGTCCTGAGGCACCTGGGGTGTTCTCAGGGTGGTCCTGGGTGGCTTCAGGGTGGTCCTGAGGCACCTGGGGTGTTCTCGGGGTGGCTTCAGGGTGGTCCTGAGGCACCTGGGGTGTTCTCAGGGTGGTCCTGGGTGGCTTCAGGGTGGTCCTGAGGCACCCGGGGTGTTTTAGGGTGGTCCTGGGTGGCTTCAGGGTGGTCTCGGGGTCGTCCTGAGGCACCTGGGGTGTTCTCAGGGTGGTCCTGGGTGGCTTCAGGGTGGTCTCGGGGTGGTCCTGAGGCACCTGGGGTGTTCTCAGGGTGGTCCTGGGTGGCTTCAGGGTGGTCTCGGGGTGGTCCTGAGGCACCTGGGGTGTTCTCAGGGTGGTCCTGGGTGGCTTCAGGGTGGTACTGAGGCACCTGGGGTGTTCTCAGGGTGGTCCTGGGTGTCTTCAGGGTGGTCTCGGGTGGTCCTGAGGCACCTGGGGTGTTCTCGGGGTGGTCTCAGGTGGCCACGGAGTGGTCCCGAGGCGGCCGGGGGGACCTGCCCAGCCTCGCACGGCCACGGCGGGGAAGTAGGAGGCCCGCCCCCAGCACCGGATGCGAGGCATGCCGGGAACCGCACTTCCTCCTCAGGAACCTCCACAAAACCACAGGCTCTCGCCGGGCCTGCCGCCCCCAGGGAGCCGACAGGATGGCTGAGGGCAAGACTGGCGGTGCCGCCGGCCTCTTTGCCAAGCAGGTGCAGAAGAAGTTCAGCAGGGCCCAGGAGAAGGTAAGCGCGAGCGGAGGCCCGAGGCCGCCGATGCTTCGAGGGGGGCGTACCGGGTGCTCCGGGGCGCGGGGGGCCTGGGCTGAGAAGGGTCCCCGGCCTCCCAGAAACGGGACCAGGGAGAGGGCGTCCATGAACAGGCAGACCTGAGCGAGAGGGAGACCACCAGCTGGCCTCCCCCAGGAGGAGGGAAGCCGAGGGGGCGGCGGTCTCTCGGGGCCTCAACGCTCGGCTGAGCCGGAGAAGATGAAGGGAAGGCTCGAGCGCTGGCCACTGCGGCGGGCAGTTTTGGCCCTGGCGCTCCAGCGAGGACGGCTCTCACAGACGAGGACACTGCGGGCTCGCAGCAGCGGACCCCCGAAGGCATCAGAGGGAAGGGCCAGCTGTGCTGCCCTGAGCGCCGCCGGGCTGGGACTGGGAGCCCCGGACTCGGGACTCGGTCCCTGCACGGCGCTGGGCCCCACCCTGCCTGGCCCCGCGTTGTTTAAGCTGATGTAAGAGTGACCCTTATCTGCTTCCTGCGCGTCCCGGGGTGACAACGGGTGACAAGGTGCGGCTCCCTTCACACTGCGCCCTGGGGGCGCTCTGGGGGGTCCTGCCCCAGCGCCGGCCCCCAGGCCGGCTGTCCGTCCACGATGCGCCTACCTGTGTCTCCTGTGTCGACTCTGGACACTTCACTTCTCCACACCTATGACGTTCTTTATGTTCTTCATTTTCTAAATTTCAGATAGCGCAGAAGGGAGAGAGAGAAACATCGATGTGAGAGAGACACATCGAGTGGTCGCCTCCCACACGACCCTAAACTGCAACCGAGGTACGTGCCCTTGGCGGAACCGAACCCGGGTCTCTCTGGTCCGCGGCCCACGCTCTAACCGCTGAGCAGACCGGCCAGGGCTCTAGTGACATTCTTGTTTCTCCCCATCCGGATATTTTCCCTGCCTCTCACTGCAGCTCCTGCCTCCCTGCCAGCACTCTGGTAGCCGGGATGGGGTGGGGAGATGACTACGCCGGAAGAGAAGGGGAGGGGGACACAAGGACCTGACAGAATTGTGGCTTCCTAAGGGTTCCTGGGCCTAGGAGCGTTTGGACAAATACCACTCGCTTAAGAATTGAAACAGTTGTGTCATCTTCCAAAAGCAGAGCACGGCTTGGGGCCTGGAAGGCTGAAAGGCAATCAGCCCTCCCAAATGGGATTTCAGCAGCATCATGGAATGTAGATCTACTCGCTGCCTTTGAGAGGCTGACAATGGAAGCGAGGGAAGTCGGGTGGGGGAGAAGCCAGGTCATGTGAAAGAGCAGAGGAATGAAAGATTTTGTGTGACTAGGCTTGGTTACCTCACCTTACCCTAACTTCACCTCAGTCCTGGTTTCAGCCTCTCAAAAGGCTGTCTGGTCTCAGATCTGATACACAGAGATCAGGTCTAGTTAGAAGCGGTGTGGAGAAACAGGAGGTACTAGGGAAGAGGGGAAGGCTAGCTACACTATGGGTTGGAAAAAACAAAAAGAAAATCCAAAAGATAGAAGGTTATGGGTAATAGTTGTTTTTAAAAGACGTAGAGATTGATTTACCTCACTCTTTCACCTCTTATCCTTATCTAGCCTATCATCAACACTATGTCCTCGCTTTGGGATTTCTCTCCTTTTTAAAGCATGGGCTCCTAAGCCTTAAGGTAAATCATATCCCTGCTCTGGGCTCCAGATTCTGCATTTCTAAAATGAGAGATTTGGTGTTCAGTGATTTGGAAACTCAATCTGGTAAGAACACCAGAGTAAGAAGGGGAGAGGGCTCCTTGAACCACAGAAAGAGTAAAATACTTCCCAAAGGGAAAACCAGCTGCCCAGGTACACCCTGTTTTTCCTGGTCTGAACCCCAAGAAGGCAGAATGAGGAACAAACTCAAGTCTGCCATGGGGAATTCTCAACTTTTTTCAGAAAACAAGAAGATACTCTGAACCCAGACTTAGACACAGGAGCAGGCAGAAGTTGCGCTTGGAGTAGTAATTCAGCCAGCACCCAAAAGATAGTGGTTGCTGCTTGGATAGAATGGGAATGGCCTAGGGTGTGGGGAGGAGCTCAGCTCAGCCTGCCAGAATCCTTGAGTCTTGGGAAGTTATTTTTATTTATTTTTTATTGTTGAATGGGAAGTTGTTAAAGGCAAGATAAAGACAGCAAAAGTTATAGTCAAAAGAAATGACTCCCTGGAAAACTGCAATTTTTCTGTAAAGCAGGCATGGCATCTTTTGAGTAGTATGTATTAACTAACATGTCAAATAGTCAAATATCAAGTGTCCACTGAGAAAGACATGATCTTTTCCTTTGTGGAGTCAACATATTCATAATATGATCTCACTTCATCTTTTCAACCCTTAATCATGTTATTAGTATCCCAATTTTAGAAATGAGGAAACAAGGCTCAAAAGAGATTGGCATGTGGCAGAATTATCACTGGAACCCAGGTGCCTTGCCTTTGGATGCCAAACTCAGGCTGCTCTCTTTACAAAGTTCTTGATAAACCACTCTGACATCTGTGCCTCTCCACTTCCTGCTGGCCTGCCCACTTCCTTCTGAACTTTTTTCAGGAGCAAAGCTGGATGTGGGAACACCTTTTGCTCAGGCCGCCTCCTCTGAAAAGCTAGGAGTGAAGGTCTGGTCACTGTTAAACACAATGGAGATGAAACATTCTTGTTTTATTTTCCAGTTCCCACCCAGACTCAACATGAGACCATTCAAACTGGCTTTATTGTGTTTTTACAATATGGTACATTTTCACATTTCAAAATAATGCTTTCACCAACTGTTTGTGCTATCTCTGTGGCAAACCTCTCAGGTTGCTAACACCTCCCCACCCCCACCCCATGAAAGGGCATCCTTTACCACTCCTTTGTTGGTCTTTTCCTCTGTTAACTTTTATTCAACTTGTATCCCAGATGGTTCAATCAACAATATTTAGAGAAGAACTCCTTTGTCCAGGATACCTAGCTGGACCCAGGAGGGAATTTAAAAACAAGTAAGAAGCATTCTTGCCTGTCAGAAGCTTACAATCTAGTTTTTTGTTTTGTTTTGTTTTGTTTTGTTTTTATCCTCACCCGAGGACATTTTTCCATTTTTTGTTCAGGAGGGAGACAGGAACAGAGAGAGAGAGGGAGAGAAACATCAATGTGAAAGGAACACATCGAGTGGCTGCCACCCGCACGATCGACTAGGGCCGGGGACAAGGGGACAAACTGCAACCGAGGTATGTGCCCTTGGCGGAACCAAACCTGGGTCTCTCTGGACCGCAGGCCGACGCTCTAACCGCTGAGCCAAACCGGCCAGGGCTAGTTTTTTGTTTTTTGTTTTTAAGTAAAATAAGGGACCTGAGAGAGCTGCACCTCTGTGGAAATTCAGAGGACAGACAGAGATTTTGTAGTGGAGGCTGAATTTGAAATAGGAATTATGGCCAATGAGTAGTTTCTCAGGAAAGGAATGATAGAACATTCCAGCTGAGGAATGCAAATTGAGTAAGGCATGGCATCTGGAAATCCTTTTAGGCAAGGGTTGGTGGGAGAAAAGGCTGGAAAGTATATTAGGGCCATATTAAGGAGACCCTACTTTAGCATATATCCTGAAAATAAGGATTTCTTACATAACTACAGTATCGTTATTGCACCTGAGAAAAAAAATTTTAACAAAATTGCGTAATATCTGATGCGCAGGCCCTATTCAAATGACCCCAGTGGAGAAGATTAAATAAGATATAACAAATGATTACAGGTCATGGTGAGGAACTATAGCCACAAAACATCTGCAGTGATTTTTTTGTTTTTTAAGCTTTACCCTCCCATCTCAACCTATATAAAAGTTAAATCAATGAACACTGGAATATTCTTTACCTATTTCACTAAGTGTTAACATTTTGCCACATTTACTTTTCTTCTTGTCCCTGCTCTTTCTCCCTAAATATCTATATTCTAACTTCCCAGCTGCTAAGCCAGGCAAACTGGGCCAGAATTCCTCAGTGCAGAACTTCAGGGATTGGCATTACGTGGGCTTTCAATAAGAAGTGATCCTAAGGTAGAACTTACTAATTCTTTCAACAAACATCTGTGGAACACCTGTACATCCTCTTCCCTCAAGGAATTCTAGTTTAAAAAGAGCATCTACAACACAGTATAAGTCGGTGACACCTGGCCCTGTTGCTTATGGCAACAAATGAGTTCGAGCCCAGGGCACTGGGTTGTTTCCAGGGTGATAATACTCATCTTTTCAGTTTCAGAATTGAAGATGGGCATGTTCCCTCGGCACACCTTCCAAGTCTTTTTGCCTTGAGTCTTTTGGAGATTGGGAATACAGGTCTGCTTTAGGATATGCCACATTGATTCTAGACTCAGTTGACTCCTCTATCCTTTCAGCCCCCTTCACCCAAGAACTATGCCCCAAACAAAGGAAGGGAGGGGTAGCAGGAAGGAAGTGAGAGCTGTGTTAACCACTGAACATGGTAGTTTTGCAACTTGCTTGGTAGAAGACAGTGTTTGGGGGGAGGTGAGGGGAAGGGTGGAGCCAAAGAAGGTGGCAGATTCTGCACACCCAGGATTGGTGTTAAGTAAGGTGGAGTTAGAGAAACAAACACATATAATTAAACTGAAAAGGAAACAGGGGAGGGAGTGGAACTAGACATAGTGATAGTGGATTTGTATTGAGTACTCACTTTAGGGCAGCACTGTGAAAGTAATTTACATATATGGTATCATTTAATTTTACCAACAACCCCAGGAGATACTATGGTCTTACTAGGAGAAAGGGATTTCTGTAAACTAAGGCTCAGGAGTTTAAGTGCACAGATAATAGTATGGGGAAGGCCTGGGGGGTGGAGGTTGCGGGCGGGAGTACGGGGTGGGGCTAAGAGGGAGAAAATGGGAGACATCTATAATACTGTCAACAATTTTGAAAAGAGTTTAAGTGATTTGCCCAAAGGCTTATAGCCAGTAAGTGGAAAGGCCAAGATGGGGTCATATATCTATTTGTCTGACTGCAGAGTCCTTGATCTTAACCATTATAGAGAGCTCCAGAAGTGAGAGACACTAACTCCAGGATTAAGAATGGAGTCATCCTGCCCTGGCCGGTTTGGCTCAGCGGTTGGAGCGTCGGCCTGTGGTCCTGAGAGACCCGGGTTCGGTTCCCGCTAAGGGCGCATACCTTGGTTGCAGTTTGTCCTCGGCCCTGGTCGGTTGTGCGGGTGGCAACCACTCGATGTGTTTCTTTCACATCGATGTTTCTCTCTCTCTCTCTGTTCCTCTCTCTCCCTCCCGCTCTACCTGAACAAAAAATGGAAAAATGTCCTCGGGTGAGGATAAAAAAAAAAAAGAATGGAGTCATCCTCACTCCCAAGACCTGGGCAGTCTTGCATATGATTCAAAGCCCAATCTCCCTCTCTAGCTTCCTTACACACATTCCCTATAACACACCCTGAACCAGCCATGCTGAACTATCTCATGAAGCTGCTATAAATTTGCATACTCCCATGACTTTGCTGATGTTGTCTTTGCCTAGAAGCCTCTTTCCACCCTCACCTTTTATACTGTATTCCAGTCTATCAAAATTTTAATCCAAGGCCCAGCATTGGTCTTCTCCTGTATCATGCAGACATGTTTGGAGAGTCTCCTGTATTCTCCTTCCTTTTATAAGTATTAACTATCTATTTGCTGGATACTGAGAAATCTAGATGAGTAAGACAAGTACCCAAATCTCAAGGAGCTCACAATGTAGAAGGAGACATAGATAAATACAAATAATAAAACAGTAACAGAAGTGCAAATAAGGTACAGAAACTGTAAGCACTTAAGAGGGAGTGATTACCTTGATTAATAAGATGAAGTAGATGTGATTGTCACAAAGGATATAGATTATGAATTGGGTTTTGATTATGAAATAGATTATGAAGTGGTCTGACAGCCAAGGTGGGGAAGAACATTCTAGAAAGAGCACAGCATCTACAACAAGCAGAAGTATGGCTTATTCAGGAAACAAAATGTTAGGGGGAGACCTACAGGAAGGAGGAACTATGAGAGCTGAGGCTAAATGAGTAGTCAGATCATTGAGACCTATATGCATGCTAGAGCTTGAACTATAACTTACAAATACATAATGAGTATGTAATAAAAATTTGTTGAGAAGATAAATGGAGAATCATCAGAAGGTTTTAAGTAGCAGCATGATAGGCCTGTTATAGCAGACCAGGTGAGAAACAATCAGGGCCTGGGCTGAAGCTGTGGCAATGAGACTAGAAAGCATGGGATGATTTTCAGAGATGGTGAGGGATTCATTGAAGGAGGTGAAAGAGAAGGAATTGAGGATAGGTACTCCTGAGATTCCAACTTGGACCTGGGGGACGGTGATATCTCCTTCCAAAATGGGTTACGGACAGAAGAGGCAGGACTCTCTTCCTTGTTTGTGAGTGTCCTCTCTGAGAACAGTTACTATATGTTTTTTATTTCCACGCCCTTTGCATTAGCACTAAGATTGGTATAATGTTTAGTTCTCAGGTTCTTAGTGGAGAGGAAATAGACATGGATAACATTAATTTTTAGCTGAGTTTTAAAAGCATTTTGTCAGGGCTTCTTAAAGTTTTCCACAAGGGCACTTATAAGAGTCTTCTGCCCACTTCTGTAACCTCATCTATAGAGGAACCTGCAGCTATGGCTGGAAGAGGGTCTGTCAAGTGAAAAATGTCTTGAAGGCTCATGTTATATCTTTAAAAACCATGCACATTTTACATTTTTCTTATTAATTCTTGTTTTAATATAATACTCTCCCCATCTCCCTATGAAAAACACTGTAAATAACAATGTCATTCCAGGAACATATACCTTATTTACTCTAGGCTTTATATATATTCTCTAGCACACTGCTGCATACTCCCAAGAGTACCAAATTTGAAAAGAGCCACAGAACATGATTGTTTATTCAGCAGTGTGCTATATTTCTAATTCTGTTGGGCTGATATGAGTACAGTGGCCTTTTAGTTGCATCTGAAACTCTGAGAAGCCACGGTCATATGAAGCCAACAGATAAGAGACTTGACTATATGTAACCTTATGGATATCTATGACTTATGTCCTTAGGTACTGCAGAAGTTGGGGAAAACTGTCGAAACCAAAGATGAACGATTTGAACAAAGTGCCAACAACTTCTACCATCAACAGGTAATCTGGAGAGTGGGGAAGGGAAGCTTGGAAAAAGAAAGAAGACATGAGGGCTGAAAGGCAGAGGAGCAACATGTTCTTCAAACCAGCAAGCATTCCTACTAACCCATCTTCCCCTCAGGGTAGGGGCCACCTGGTGCCCACTGCTTATCCTTCCCCTGGAACCAGAGGAACTCACCTTTCCTGCTCCTGGTGACCCTAGTTTGGGGCGGTGGGGGGTGGGTAGACAGGTGTTCTTTTTTCTTAGTGGTTCCCCCAGAGTACAGTGGCATCACCTGGTCCTTAGACAAAGTCAAAATGAGCCCTTGTCACCTTATTCACTTCCCAGGGTGCCTCTCTCCCACCCTAGGGTTCTTATCTCAATAGCCCCATGTTTTCCTTGTGGCCTCTTTGTTCACTACATATACCTACCCCACCTATGCCCTTTATTCTAAAATATTACCTCCATTTTTTTACCTGTCATTCTCACCAACACCTCCTATTCTCACTGTTCCTTCTGTCTTCACTGGATAGTATGTGTAATTTAATGCAGAAAATTTACATTAATAAGGGAGTGGAGGGAAGGGAAGAGATACACCAAAGAACTGATGATATGCATATATGCGTCACCAATGGACACAGATAATAGTGTGGTGAAGGCAGGGAGTGGTTGGAGCAGGAAAAGGGTGTCAATGGGGGAAAAAAGGAAGGACATCTGTAATACTTTCAACAATAAAGACAAATTTTAAAAAAAGAAGTGGACAACAGAGGTTTAACCTTCCATGGGATATTTAATTTTCCATCTTCATGTGCCAGGCATCATGCTCAGTGCTTTACACATATCTCATTTAATTCTTACATCAGTCTTGGAGATTGCGATCTTTATAATAGAAGAGAGTTGTTAACTTAAATGAATATCCAGTTGCATTGCATTCAGACATTGACTTACCTACATTTAGGTCAAATTTCACAGGTTAAGGGCATAGTCGCCTACTACACTGCCTTACTTCAGACACCAGGCACAAACTCCAGAGTTCCCAGGCCTCCTACTTTACTAACCAACTGGCTATAAATTTGGGGCTTCCTACTAATTGCTCAGCTTCCATAATTTGCTAGAATTACTCACAGACTCAGGAAACTGTTTTACTTACAACTACAGTTTTATTGTAAAGGATACAAGTCAAGACCAGCCAAATGAAGACATATAAGGTGAGAACTGGGAGGTTCCCAAATGTGAAGTTTCTGTGTGCACAAGACATCACCCTCCCAGCACACTAATCTAGTATTACCAACCAAGAAAGCTCACCAGAGCTTCAGGTATCTAGAGTTTTTATTGTGATTTCATTGCATAGTGAATCATCAGCCATGTAATTGAACTTAATCTCTAGCTTCCCTCCCATCTCCTCCCCTCTTCTCCCCTCTCCTCCTCTCAGGTTAGGCTGATATCACCTCTCTTAGAGCCCTAACCCTCTAAACCAGCGATTCTCAACCTATGGGTCACAACTTTTTGGGGGGTCAAACGACCCTTTCACAGGGGTCACCTAAGACCACCAGAAAACACGTATTTCCAATGGTCATAGGAACTGAGACACCGCTCCTCTATCCGTCTCTAGGTGGGCCCGCCCACATGCAGATAGGCCCACATACAGCATGAGGAACTGTATTATAGGGTCGTGGCATTAGGAAAGTTGAGAAAACCCATGGTTCCTCTTTCCAGCTTGACCTGCCACCATCCTAAGGTATAGTTGGAGGGACCCACCATGAATAACAAAGACATTCCCATCACTCGGGGAAACCCCAAATATTTGGGGCTTACTTCCTAGGAACCAGGGACAAAAACCAGCCAAAACATTTATTGTTCAACATCAGTTAGTTGAATTATATGCAAAATAATTCTTTAGAATTATATTTAAAGGATATTAGCTATTATCTAACTCACTGTATCAGACTCATTTGGAAATATTTTTAAATGCAAGGTCATTGGTAGGAGGGCCTTGGAATCTGTATTTTTTAAACTTGTTTTAATGGAAAATTTCATATGTACACAAAATAGAAAAACTTGTATCATGAATCCATATGTACCTATCACTCAGCTTCAATAATGTATCAACTCCTGGGAATCTTGTTTCATCTTTGTCTCCACCCACTTTCCCCCCATGCTTGATTATTATGAAGCAAATTCTAGATATCCTATTATTTTCTCTGCAAATATTTCATTATCAATCGCTAAAGATACAGACTCTAAAAATATAATCACAAAACCATTATTGCACCTAAAATGTTTTTCTATAAAACATTTACTCATAACAAATCAGAAAGAAAGTACATCAAGAAAAAAATTAATTTAAAAATAATTCAGGCCATGTGGCTCAGCGATTAGAGCTTCAGCCCAAGCACCAAAGAGTCTCCGGTTAGATTCCTGGTCAACAGTACATCCCTGGGTTGCAGGTTCGATCTCTGGCAACCAATTGATATCTCTCTCTCTCTCTCTCTCTCTCTCTCTCTCTCTCTCTCTCTTCCCATCCCTCTCTTCCACTCTAAAATCAATGGAAAAAATATCCTCAGGTGAGGATTAAAAAATAAATAAATAAATAAATAAATAAATAAATAAATAAATAAATAAAATGTGTCTATACCCTCCCATGCTACAACTACTGTGCTTTATGTCCTTATAGTTACTTTCTTATGTGTGTGTATGTTCTCTAACTATACCCACTATAAATAAAAGGGGTTTACAAAAGTGAAATTATTCCATTTATATGGTTTTATAACTTGACTTTTTCACTTAACAAAATAATACAAATATACTTTCAGCCCTGGCCGATTTGGCTCAGTGGTTGAGCATCAGCCTGTGGACCAGAGTCACGGGTTCGATTCCGGCCAAGGGCACATTCATCCCTGGCCTCAGTTGCAGTTTGTCCCTGGCTGAGTCGTGCAGGAGGCAACCAGTCAATGTGTCCCTCTCACGTAGATGTTTCTCTCTCTCTTTCTCCCTCTCCCCCACTCCCACTCTATCTGAAGATATATGAGAAAATATCCTAAGGTGAGGATTAAAATATATATGTATATATACTTTCAGATATTTTATGTTAACTATCCCACTAAAACCTATGTTTTAGTAATATCTAAAAATGTCGCCCTGGCTGGTTTGGCTCAGTGGTTGGATTGTTGGCCTGCGGACCAGAGAGTCCTGGGTTCGGTTCCCGCTAGGGGCACGTACCAATAAAAAAAAAAAAAAAAAAAAGCTCTGGCCACTTTTGCTCAGCAGTTGAGCATTGGCCTGCAGACCAGAGAGTCCTGGGTTCGGTTCCCGCTAGAGGCACGTGCCACCAAAAAAAAAAAGTGACTTCTGGTCAAGATGGCAGCATAGGTAAACACGGTATCGCATCCTCCCACAACCACATCATAGTTACAACTAAACTACAGAACAATCATCATTCAAAACCGCCTGAAATCAAGCTTAATGGAAGTCCTACAACTACAGAATTAAAGAAGCAGCCACATCGAGACTGGTAGGAGGGGCAGAGGCAGACGGGCTGGTCCCACACCCACGTGTGGCGGATAAAAATCAGGAGGATACCTCGGCTGGGAAGGTCCTCCCTGAGGACTGAGGGGTCCCCATCCCACACCAGGTGCCCCGCTCAGGGTTCCAGTGCCAGGAAGAAAAATCCCCACAACTTCCAGCTGGAAAAACCAGTGGGAACTGAGGCTCAGGGAGGCTGAGGCAGCTGGAGCCCCAGGCAGCCCCTTAAAGGGCCCATGCACGGACTTATCAGACTCACTCCCTCTAAGCTTGGAGGGGAGGCAGCTTGGGGGCGCCAAAGACATACAGGGAAGAACTGAGCTGTTCGGCATTGGAGTAAAGGCTGGAGAGGGGGCTTTCTCGGACAAACGTGCTGTCAGAGGCTTTTGTTCCTTTGGTGAGCCCTTCCCTGGGGCAGCAGACAGCCACCATATCTGAGACTCTAGCAACTTGGCTCATACTGGTTGCCCCACCCTGGTGATTCCCTAGGGCCCCGCCCCACCCAACTTTCAGGCCCACCCAAGCTGTTGCCAGTTGTTTAACCATAGGTTGGCCTGTCTTGGATCCTGCTTCAGGTTTTCCTAAATTCTTTCAAACAAGCAGCATCTGGTCTCAGATAGCCCCATACCTCTCGTTAAGTAATACATAGAAACAAACACAGGGAGGCAGCCAAAATAAGGAGACAAAGAAACAAATCCCAAATGAAAGAACAGAAAAAATCTCCAGGGAAAGAACTAAGCGAAATGGAGATAAGCAACCTAACAGATGCTGAGTTCAAAATACTGCTTATAAGGATGCTCAATGAACTTAGTGAGAACCTCAATGAACTTAGCGAGGGCCTCAAGAGCATAAAAAAAGACCAGTCAGAAATGAAGGATGCACAGTCAGAAATGAAGGAGGCACTAACTGAAATAAAAAATAATTTACACAGATTCAATAGTAGAGTAGGTAAAGCTAAGAAGCAAACCGTCAATTTGGAATATAAGGAAGCAAAAAAACACCCAATCAGAACAGCAAAAAGAAAAAAGAATCCAAAAAAATGAGGATAGTGTAAGGAGCCTCTGGGACAACTTCAAGCGTGCCAACATTCGCATCATAGGGGTGCCAGAAGGAGAAGAGAGAGAACAAGAAATTGAAAACCTATTTGAAACAGTAATGGCAGAAAACTTCCCTAACTTGGTGAAGGAAACAGACATACAAGTCCAGGAAGCACAGAGAGTCCCAAACAAGATGAACCCCAAGAGGCCCACACCAAGACACATCATCATCAAAATGCAAAAGGTTCAAGACAAAGAGAGAATCTTAAAAGCAGCAAGAGAAAAGCAGTTAGTTACCTACAAGGGAGTTCCCATAAGGCTGTCAGCTGATTTCTCAAAAGAAACTTTGCAGGCCAGAAGGGAGTGGCAAGAAATATTCAGAGTGATGAAAAGCAAGAACCTACAACCAAGATTACTCTACCCTGCAAAGCTGTCATTTAGAATCGATGGCCATATAAAGA